GACCAAGACGGTCGTCTAGGTTAAAGACTACGAGGTTTGGCGTTTCTTTCTCATAAGAATCGCTGTTTGAATGTACCGGCGGTTCCCGAGGAAACAGAACCGTGCTCTTCGGCACCGGTAACTAAACTATATGCATCGCAGAAAGCTCTAACTCCGCGAGAATGTTACTCTAGGGGTCGGGATGAAACGCCAAGGTTTTAGAACATGACTTTACCTGGATCAAAGGAGTAGTGAAAAATACGAAATTTTTTTATGGGCCCCCCCTTAACCCTAACATCGTCAAGACGAGAAATGACATTGTGGGCGGCATGTATTTCAGAGAGAAAAACGTGTCGCCAGAAAGAAAACAATATCAACTTTCTTCTTGACAGATGCATTTCGTTGATAGAAATCCCACTAGGGTCCACAATGTCGGTTCTTGTTTGGACGCGATATTGGGCTACAGGTTTACGTCGGCTCACAAAGAAATTTCATTTTTCTCAAGAATATTTTGATCCAGGTAACGTCATGTTTTCAAACTTCCACGTTCTATTCCCAAGCCGAAAAACAATGTTTTTTTTTTCTTTTTTTTTCTCGGGAACTGCATGTACATATTCCATGGATTTAAATACCGTAGGCCGTCTTTTTTTCGCGCACCTGTGAAAGTACTTGTTTTTGTGGGTTTGTATCTTGTAAAAGTCCTTTAGTCGGCACATCTGTTGTTTTCAGTCGATATAAGGTGAAGCAAAAAAAAAAAAGAAAGATAAATTAAGCGGAATGCTTTGTTGTTAGTGTCCATACGCAAACACTCCAAACTGCAATGCCGTCTGCAATATGTGCACGAAACTGACTGCATAACACATGCAGAAACAGCCCGTGTTATATTTGGACATTTAGAGCCCACAAGTGTACACGTACACAGGAAGAACAGAAAAGAAAACGCGCTACTGCTTCAAAGAGCTAAATAAATCGAACTCAGCCTTTGTGGCCGATTTTGCTTGACTCTAAGGCGAACGATCTCATGGACAGCAATCGTGATACACAATTACAGAAAACTCAAAACAGAAGTTCCAGATTATCATAATGTTTTTTTTTTAGTTCAAGTTTGTGCATTTAGTTTTAGTTCACATGTCAGTTCAGTTTATTTCTATGTAAACAAAGCTAACCTGGTAAAATGTAGCGCCTGAGGGCAAAATATTTTAAATAAATAAATAAAAACAACCACGTCGAATGGACGGAAATGATTTATGATATAAATTGAGGTTCACAATTGGATCTACCTTTTGCCTAAAAGCTACACAAAGTTAGTAAAATTTGAATGGGTTTTTGACAGATAAGACATTGGTCCCATGAGGGATAGTTAACACGTGCCAAAACAGCAACGCCGTGCTGTTTTGACGCGTGCTGTTTTGTCGCCGTGCTGTTTTGACGCTGTGCTGTTTTGTCGCGTGCTGTTTTGTCGTGTGCTGTTCTGTCGTGGTGCCGAGACTCGAGATAACACCCCCAAAGAACCAAAGCAAAGACCGTCTCCACCAGCACCAAGCTCGACAGCATGACGTACATCGGGCAATATTCAACCATCTAAAAGCTACAGGCCACCAAAAGCTCCTCAAGCTTTGCATCTTCCACGGCTTGATTCGCATCAACAAGGTGATATGACCAAACTACTGATCCCTATGTTTTTTGTAGCCCTTCAAGTCATCCTCTAAACAACACCAGGGCCCGTTTGCTCGAAGCACTAACCGCGGCTAAAGTTAGCCGCAGTACCTAGAAGAGGGATTTTGAGATCACGTGACTGGCTCGGTAGGGATGCGGGGAAACATGGCGGTGCCCCAGTGAGTGAGTGCCGCTCGCTTTGGAACTAATATGTCGTTGTGGTTGCTATATCGGGCGCGTTAGTCAGCAACGAATGGTGCAGGAGGCTTTCGCTTTGCCTTAGCTCACTTAAACTGCAAAGCACGGGCAATGACATCGCCGCATTTTTGAGACAGTGTTTCGATTCTGGGCACTCCTAGGCCTAAATTAACGCGATAATTGTCGGCATAGCAACGTCTTTGGAAAGTGGATTGTTGATAGCACACAAAAGCAGACGGCGTCCCAACAGACCTTTTTTTGTAAATTATCCAAGCACCGAGGAGCATGCTACGACTGTAGTTGCACGCGTCGCACGCGCTGGCGTCTGCAGTAGTAACCGTTCTAAAGCAAAAAGTATAAAACAAATTTTGCCTTACACGCGCGTTCGTCAGGGCCTTATTATGAGTATTCAAATCTTTTATAAGAGGAAGGCCAGCGCGCGTGAACAGTAGAATTACACTTCCAGCGTTCTCCTCGCGATGCTTGGATAATTTAGAAAAAAGTCTGTCGGGACGCTGTCTGCTTTTGTGCGCTATCAACAATCTGCTTTCCAAAGAGGTTGCCATGCCGACAATTATTGCGTTCATTTAGGGTTAGGAATGCCCAGAATCGAAACACTATCTAAAAAATGCGGCGATGTCAATGCCCATGCTTTGCGGTTTAAGTGAGGTAAGACAAAGCGAAAGCCTCCTGCATTATTCGTTGCTGACTAACGCGCCCAATATTGCAGCTACAACGACATATTAGTACCAAAGCGAGCGGCGCTCACTCACTGGAGCACCGCCATGTTTCCCCGCATCCCTACCGAGCCAGTCACGTGGTCTCAAAATCCCTCTCCTAGGTACTGCGGCTAACTTTAGCCGCGGTTAGTGCTTCGAGCAAACGGGCCCAGATGCCAACAAGTTCCATGAAGTCAAGGCTTTTCTTACTTTGGAACATCTAATATCGTAAACTTGGCTTTAAATCAATAGAAAACAAGGTCCCACGTAATGGAAGACATATAAGGCAGCAACAGTATTTCAATGGAATGCAAGCGGGTTAAGATTACGACTATCTGACTTCCGTCAGTTGGCACTCAAGTATAAATATCCCATCATAGTGATGTGTGAATCGAAGTTACCCCAGAATCTACAACTGTCAGATTACGAAAAATTTGATTCATCGCGTACTGCTGGGGAAAGCCGAGTTAGGCTATTCATCCGGACCTCACGTACATGCCACATGTCATTCCACCTCATGAGGACAACGAGTACGCGTGTGCTTTAATCTCTGACGATAAGCTCTCGTTCACAATAGCTGCAACGTATATACCGCCCAAATCGAAATTTAAGAGACGTCTAGAAAGCATTCTAAATACGGTAACCCCACCTCACATTATAACTGGCGATTTTAATGCTCATTACCATCTATGGGGTAGTGTTCGAACGACTCCTCGCGGGAGATGCCTTGCTGATATAGCTGACGTCCATAACGTATTGATCCTGAATGATGGAAGTCCCACATATCTACATGGGACAAGTGGCAGCAGTTGCCTTCACTTGACATTCGTGTCATCGAGCTTGGCATAATCTGTTGTCTGGTTCACAGGTGTAGAAACGCGCGGGAGTGATCATATCCCAACCTACACAATAATTCAAGATTTTGTCAAAAAACAAAAAGGCAACATAATCCAGCAAGTGAATTGGTTGCAATTTAAAAAGGCAAGGAAACAAACTTTCAGCCTTTCCACTCTGGTGAAGGAGAAAGACCAGCGGAACTGTACAATCGGAAGTAATAGCCGGCCGCAAATCGGCAAGCCAGAGTGGAAAGGCTGCCGCCACCTATGAACGACGGCGGCAACCAGATACGTGGCTTGCCGCCGTCGCTCATAGATGGCGGTAGGTGTCCAGAGTTCGATTTCTTCATTTATTTATGGGGGACATGATCCTGGAGAAAGTAACCCTTAACAGCTCCGCTGTAAAAACAGAACAATGAACAGCCTCCATGAATTTGTAACTGCAATTATACTCCGTTTCATACTTAGCGTGCAACGCTGCCAAAGCTACTGGCGCGAGCGCGTGGCTTCATCTATGGTTTTGTTTGCGCGAGAACGCGTGCAAATGATCAACGAGATCGAGCACCACGCTCGCGCCAGTAGCTTTGACAGCGTTGCACACTAAGTATGAAACGGAGTATACGTATTCTGCAAAATCATCAACGCACGGTTACAAACTTCCAGGTCATCGAACAGTGATCGATGCTGAGTATGCACATCTCCGCGCAATACGACGGCAGGCAGAACGGCGCGCTAAACAATTTAAACTTAAAGGGATACTTCAACGAAATTTGAAATACATCCGCAGTGTTCAGAAGTAGGTTGAATATGATCCACAATATCCGTTAATGACAATCGCACGTTTGTATTTTGAGCCTGGTGACTGTATTTTTCGTTATGAACGGCCCACTGTGGCAAGCGCTTGGAGAACAGCCAGCGGAGAACGTGTGACATTCAACGCAATCGTGAGATAGTTCGTCTCGGGACGAGCAAAGCTACGGCGAGGCTGACGTCGAGAGGATGGCCTAGTCGTTCCAGCCACCGAAGCGGCTGCTTTTGTACGGATTTCGAGCGACTGGTTAATCTTCTATAATCTCGTAGGGGGACAATAGCGACTTCTGCGACACACAAAAGGGATTCTCGGAAAGAAGGGAGTTCCTCCTTCCCCTCTTCCCTCGTCATGGCCGGAGGTGAGACAGTTACCGTCACTAGCTGTCAAGGTTCCTAGACGGGCATTACAAACGAGGAGTTAGCGACATCCACCAGGTGCTTTTTGTTAATCGCTTAATTTGTTTTAAAATTCCCTTTCGTGACTTTTTTAACAAGATATTGGTGTGTTCGTTGTGATCCTGGTTCTTTGAACGCATATAGACCAAAAAATGAGCGCCGAAATTTCGTTGTAGTATCCCTTTAAGGATGATCTTCGAGCGGCAAAAAGACTACAAAAAAAAAAAAAAAAAAAAAGTCGTCATTGAGGTAAAATCGGCAGGTCATTCACAGCGGAACGTGAACGAGAATTGAGCGGTCGTGCCTACATTAATAAAGAAAAGTGAATATAAACCATACAATGATGAATAGCACTTCATTTTGGGACAAATGTAGTACATCACAAACTTATTCAAAGCTCGAAACGAACTACTGGTCAACATTTTATTCAATGATATATAATCAACATAGGAAAGAATAATCCGTCTATTTATGTTATGGCTCGCGTTAGCTCCGCTGCATCTATCGTATTCTTCGAAATTCAGAATACCAGGACGTCAGGGCTGGTTTGGATAAAACAGTCTTTGCGAAGAGTTCGCGAAAGAAAGCGCTTCCAAAGCTAAGGGATGAACGCAGTGGCAAGTGAGGTCGAGTCCAAGTCGAGGTGCCCCAAGTGCTCACGCGTCTCGGGCTTGGCAGGCTTTCTTTCACGCAGCCTCAGCTAAGACGTCCATTCTAGCAAGCCGGCTCAGATATCTTAACATGGCGTAGCTGCGTATAGAAAGCGCTTTCTCGTTGTTTGCAGAGACTGTTTTTTAAGCGTCCGGAAAGGAAGGCTACGAGCGTACAATGATGCTGAGTTTAGCTCTAAGCTTGCAACATGGGTGCTTGATACAAGAGTGGGTACAATAACGTGGAACACAGGGCTCCCAAGATCACCGAGTTCCAAGGTGCGGAAATAGAGCCCGCGTCCCCGCCGTCACCCAGAGTCGGACATCTTTCTAGCGCTAGAAGGCCGCGGATGAATTCTTTCCTGGCCTCTGTTCCTGGCTGGGCAGCTGGGGGACACCCTGTTGTCGCTTGCAGCGTGCAGTCAAATTCCGTTTTGAAGGCTCTGCAAGAAACAAAAACAGGCGGGCGTATGGTATATGCCATGAAGGCAAAGACTACACTGCCCTGTCCGTACAACGCAGACAATCGGTATTACGTCACAGTTGCAGAGTAAAGATGGACGACCCTTTTGGAGCAGCGTTCTGTCAGTGAAGAATATTGAAATTCTTCGTCGACTAAAGCTGCGATATGCTGAAGCTTATCTGTCACTCTAGCAAGTGCACTAGGAAGTTCACAACTGCGTGAGTTCCGCGACAGTCTCTCCTGGACAGCACAGGCACACTGAGAGGTAAAAACAGTTCATTGCAGCGAAGGAAGTCATCTTAATGTAAAAGAAAGTCACCGAGATACTGTGAATATCAGGTCATCGTTCTCGCCCCTAGTGATTACCACATTTTTGTACCGCTCAAGACAATGGGAGGAATGCATGTTTGGTTGAATGAAAAGCTGCAACACGCGGTGTATAAATGACTTTGCAAGCTACAAAACAAATGTTGATGGGAAATTTCGGCAATTATTCAGCGCTAAAAGCCTTGTATTGTGCGGAATGGAAACTTTTTAAAACATAGTGTAGACTCAGTGTCCCACTTTTGGGTGTAATAAATTTGTAGCAAAAATAATTTAAGGTTCTTATTTCACCGTCCCCCGTATCTGCAGTTTTAATATGATAGGGAACTCGTGCCTAAGATGGCAAAACATCATATTAACTTTTTTGACATTTTAGAGCGCAGCTCTTAGGCGCCCGTTTCCGGCTTGAGCGGCGTCGGCGTCGGCGGCGACGAGTAGCGAGGGCCTCCCGGAGGACCTCGGGTTCCTTCGGGAGGACCTCGGGAGGACCTCGGGTTTTTTCGGGAGGACCTCGGGAGGACGTCCGGAGGACCTGGGTACCTTCGGTGATTTCGGGGAGGGGGGTCACGTGATCTCGGGGTGATCACGTGACCCCCCCACCGCGAAATCACATCACCCCCCCCCCCCCTCAGTACCCTTTCCTCCTCCTCCTCAAGACCTGCGCTCTAATTCGGCGTCACAGGGAGTTGTAAACGGCTTTCACTTTTTAGAGCGCAGCTCTTAGGGGTCCGTTTCCGGCGTGAGCGGCGTCGCCGTCGCCGTCGGCGTAACCGCGAGGTCACGTGACCCCCAGATCACGTGCCCGTGACCCCCCCCCCCCCCCCCCCATCGAAGTCATGTGACCCCCTCCCCCTCCCCGCAATTACGCATTTGTTACGCAATTATTAGCGCTGGAAGACGTGTATTGTAGGGATTGAAGAATACTATGTCCAAAGATAGTAAATAACGTGTTTTACTTTTGTGTAATGAATTCGCATAAAAAATAACTTAAAGGACTGATTTGGCGGTCCCTCGTACCCTAGTGAAAAATCTAATACGTATAAGAAATTTCTTTGTTCAAAGAACGCATCTGATCAATGAGATCATATCAGTACATATAATAAAATACAAGAGTATATAATAAGTTTTAAGAAACGGATAAGTCAATTCTTACAACTTCCTAGATAATATTATATTGCTCTTATAAGGTTTTTATATGCTCTTATATGATTTTATTTGATCCTACGCGTTTAATGCACGAAAGTATTTCTTATGTACATAAGATTTTTCACTAGGATACTTCAGTGTTTATTTGACAAAGAACGCGTGCCTATAAGATGGCAGAAAAAAACTCAAAGGAAGAAAGAACGGAACTGAAATGCAGAGGCTGATTAATGGGTCATTGTCCCGGTTTGGTTCCTTTGTGCCGAGGGAAGGGACGATGGTGAGGCTAAATGAGAACTTGAAAGAGGAGGGGAAAAAATACTTAAAAGTGACACATTCTGACCACTATATAAGCACGGCACACTGTTCACGAACACCGAGATTCAGCGTCTACAAGTAAAAGCGAACGTGTGCTTCCTTCCAAGCCGCAGTCTCCACTTCTCGTTGGTTGTACGAAAGGCCCTTCCGTGTTCGTTTCAGGCAGGATAATGACTGAAGCATCTGCGGACAAGCCTGAAGCCTGTTCGAAATAAGTTTGCTTTAAGCTTCAACATGTTTGCACACAGCTTTGCTTTAAGCTTCAACATGTTTGCAGACAGCTTTCATTTATTTTTTACCAATGTCACAGGGCCATGCGGATTCTTGGGCGAGTTGGAACTGAAACTTGGAGAACATAATAGCGCTTCACGACAGGGACGAAGAGTAGGAACGAGACAGCACAATGCGATTGTGTTGTCTCGTTCCTACTCTTCGTCCCTGTCGTGAAGCGCTATTATGTTCTCCAAGTCACAGGGCCGTCATGCAAAGAAAGAAATACGCCCCATAGAGTGTCGGCATGCAGATTGTTTTTTTTTTTCAATTAATATTATGTACGACCACGGCTTTAAGCTCTCAGTGCCGGTCACACAGAGGACAGTCTTCAGACACTGCCTCAGTCGTGTTTCACCCGTGTAATGATGATCCAGTAATGGTGATGTAAAAGTTGCCTCCATACATGTTTCAAGTATGTATGAAGCTAACATGTTACTATAAGATGCTCGAGGTGTGCGTGACTGCAGCCCCAATACCGTGTCAGTTTAGCACGATGTATATATGAACAGCGTTTACCACGTCCAACAATCTGACGTCCATCGAAATACCCCTACTTTAGCCTCCTATATCCTGACAAAGCCTGGCAGATCGCCATGAGAAGCGGCCGCCGAAATAGAAAAGGTGGAGCGGAGGACAACGGATGAGAGGAGAGCCACGTGACTGGCGCCCCGCTGCGGCGAGACGCCGAAACACACTTCTAACGAGCGAACAAGTGTGTTTCGGGTCCTCGCCGCATCAGAAGCTGTGCGCGGACGTCCAGGTTCACCGAGAAATGGCTCTTTGATGCTCGGTGCTACCAGATCGTCGCGGTCCAACTCTACGACCGGGCACTCTATGGCTCCGTCGTCGAACTGCCAAGCTTTGTGAATTTAGAGGAGGATATGTGCCCCTACACACGAGGCCGGGAACGTTACCTGCACTTGGCGTCTTCGGAGAATGTGGTCTTGTTCCGCGAACCCTGCTTCTCGTGGTGACGGGCTGCCGTCCGGCACGTCTCCATGATGCGCGCGTCTCTGCACCTGCTGAACTCGATGATGCCTGGAACCAGCAACTTTGATAATGTAGACGCGGCCTTCAGTGGCATCAAGCGGCAGCGTGATCTGAACCTTATGTAATGCCCTAACTGGGCCTTTAAGGTGAAATAAATGAAATGTAATTAAGATGAGAAATGGAATGGGGGCGATCGAGAGAGGGGGAGGCGATCGTGCAATCGAGTACTTTTATATATTGAGGCTCGCTCGTACACTGGCAACTGCTTGAACACGTAGAGGTTTGAGGCCTGTTCACGCGCTTGCGTTTGACTACGACCCATTGAGACGATATCGGTTTTTAAACCTCTTCTGAGGGCTTACGACCGGCTGCGCAGCACTGTAGCCGGCCGTAAGCCGTCACGAGTGGCCTAAACAAAAGGTCTTATCTTCTCTGGTCGTAAACAGTTGAGTGTGTGGTCCAGAATTAAAAACGGGTTTTTAAGCCCGTTGCAACCGCTCACCTGGCTGCGCAGCTGCACAGCCGGTCGTAAGTATAGTCGCAAGAGACTTAAAAGCCGGTTATAAGCCTCTCCTGTTGTAAGCAGTCGCAAGCGTGCGATCCAGTTTTTATACCACGAAAACGAAAACATATTCGAGCGTGAATTCTACGCTCGAATATGTGAGTTTCATGTCCTCGGTTTGAAGGACAGGCACAATGTACTTGAAATAATTGTCTGCGCAATCAACATGGTGAAATTTCTGCATTGCTTCGAACGGCGACCGTTTGGAGCAGTTGCAATCGGTATTCCTTTAAGGTTGTAGCTTCAGGTCGCGCAAGTACTGCTGCGCTATGCTCACTAAGGTAAGCTTTCACGCCGGACTTGAACTTGGAAATCTTCCGTTCAATCGGGTTGAAGAACGGACTGTATGCCCGTAAGTACCTCAAAGAGTGCCCCTGGGACAAGGCGGCATCTGCGGCTCGTCGATGTGCGGGAACATTATAAAATATTATGACCACACTATAAAAAAACGCCCGTACGTCTACTTCTTCGCACAACACTCGAAGAGCTAAATACCGCAACTTACGGACGCAGCTCAGCGAATGACGATGCCGAATCATATGTTTAAACCAAAAAAATGCAGTCTCAGTTGCGTGTTTAAGCAATGCAAAATGCCATGCTTCCATTGCTTAATGGCAACTCAGACTGGTTTTTTTTTTTTACTATGTTTTGGCGTCGTCATTCGTTGAGCTGCCTCCGCAAGTTGCGGTGATTGGCTCTCCAAGTGTTTTGGGGGAAAGTAGACGCAAGGTTTTTTTTAGAGTGCAGGAGTTGTTTGCCAATATCTCCCTCGAAACTTCCTCAAGGAAATCGTTGAAAGTCAACCAGGGAACTTTTTCCACACTTCTCCACATGAACCCTCTTGTACCTGCCGTTCTTACGACGGCGTCTTTCCTACGTCTTGACCTCCCAAGCCTTCGACTACACACATATTAGAGTTTGAGTCGTCAACGTAATATTGAAGTTGAAGCGTGCCGTCTCCCTGCAGCCACGAAGCGTATTCTTTTCTTGCACTTGTTACGCCATCGCGATATTAGTCTACGGGCTGCAGAGAAAGTTTTTGTGGTTTGACCGCCGGTTCATCCAAGAGTTTTTCAATTGTAGATAGGCTGATTTTAATCCCTGGTCGAGTCGCTTCAATTTCTTGTTTGAGTTGCTTCAGCGTGTAGGTTGGGTGTTCATCCACCATAGCTGCCAGATCCTGCACAACTTCGGAGTCGCATGTTCTTTTGTTTTTTTTTAGCCTCCTCTGGGTTTTAGTTCATTTCTCAGTCTTCGCAACTGAACGAGCAGTTTTCACGTAAATTCCTAGTGTTTCCGCAAGTTGCTCGATGTTAGCGCCTCGTCGCCAGCAGTCAAGCAGCCGCGCCCGATCTTGATCGGATTCCTTTTAGTAGGATTGTTTAGGTATGTTTGGATCCTTTCGAGAGCAATCTCGGCACCTTGCATTAGGTAAACCCATTGCGAAGAGCGTTCACAAATGCGGGTTACTTGCATGCAAATCGTCGAACCACTCCAATCATTTTTATCTGCCTCGGAGACTTGAGAATCAGCCGATGTCTGAAACCAAGAAGGAGATGCCAGGTTATCGTCTCGAACCGCGACACGGCGCGTGTTTGCAGGCAATTTAAAGTAGCAGACGAAACCCGTTGATGAAGCAGCGGCCCAGCTCAAATATATTGCGAAATTTACGCTGACGGTCACTGTGGAATTGCAGACGGCGTCCGTTGATGAAACCATAGGACAGCGCTTCTTGCGTCGTCTGCAAGCACTTCGTGGTATGCTTGCGCAGTGCCGCGGTTGCCGACGATAACCTGGCATCTCCCTCTTGGTTTAAGGTGTCGGCCAACTCTCAATTTTCCGAACCAGATAAAAACGATTAGAGCGGCTCGACGATTTGCACACAAGTCACCCGTACTTCTGAACGCTCTTGGCAATAAGTTTGTCTAAGGCAAGGTGTCGAGGTCAGCCTCGAAAAAATTTAAACCTACCTAAGCAATCCTACCAAAAGGTATCCGATCAAGATGTGGCACGGCTGCTTGACTCCTGGTGACGAGGCGTTATCAGCAAGCAACATGCTGAAACACTAGGAATTTACGCGAAAACTGCTCGGTCAATTGCGAAGACTGGCAGAGGTGAACCGAAAGCTCACAGGAGGCTCAAAGAAGATATTCGCCTCTAATGTTGTGCAAGGTCTGGCGGCTATGATAAATGAACATCCAACCTACACTCAGAAGCAAGCCAAACAAAAGCTTGGAGCAACTGGTCTAGGTATTTAAATCAACCTATCTACAATTGGCAGACTTTTGGATGGACACGGTTAAACAACAAAGCAACTTTCTCTGCAGACGGTAGACCAAAATGGCGATGATGTAAAAAAGGCAAGGAATGGATCCTCTTCGTGTCTGCAGGGGGACGGCCCAATTCAACTTCGTCATTATGTAGACGTGACAAACTCTTGTATTTGATGCATAGTCGAAGGTTTGGGAGGTCGGAATGTGGGAAGGACCCCGTTGCGAGAACTAAGGTACCAGAGGGCATAATATCACAATCCTCGCATGCATGTCTGCTGACGGGATCCTCTTGCGGAGAAGTGTGGAAAACGTGTCCTTACTGGTGGAGTTTCAGCTACCTCCTGGCAAAAGTTTCAAGAGAGATCATAGCAACAGCTGCTGACCAGGATGCGGGCAGTATATTTGATAATGCTCCCGCACACCAACGAGCCGCAGACGCCGCCTTATCTCTGGGGCACTCTTTGAAGTACTTACTGCCATACAGTCCTTTCTCCAACCTAATTGAAGGGAGGTTTTCCAAGTATAAGTCTAGCGTGAAAACTTACCTCAGTGAGCCTTGCGCAGCAGTACTTTCACGGCCTGGAGCTACCACCGTGAAGGAACACCGATGGCAGACGCTCCAAACGGTCGCCGTTTGAAGCAATGCAGAAAATTCAACGTGTCGATTGCGCGGCGTAGGATCGCAATCATTTCAAGCAGATTGTGCTTGCCCTTCAAACCGAGGACATGCAACCCGCCTATTCCAGCGGCGAATACACGCCGTCAAAAATCAGCATCTTGATTTGCAATGAAAATGTTTCATTGATTTCATACGCTTAACTGAAATCCCAACTTTCCAAACACGGTTTCATTGTCAAGCTTTTGAAAAATTTCGTTACTTTTCTAAAACCGACAAAACACAGTCTCAAACTTACGTAATATGGTCTAAGAAGTCCCTCAAAATTCAAGAGAGAACCAGTCACGCATGACTTTCAAGCAATTTAGACCTCTAAAACGGTTGTAACAGACGAGTTAATACTCACATTTATTTGACATATTTTAACGGATTAAATTTAGCGACTCTCGAATTAAAATAATGGTATTGGGATTAAATTGTTGGACACTTGGCTTAAATTTATTGACACTTGAATTAAATTCGTGTAAAACTGGAATAAATTCAGGTACACTCAAATAAAAACAAAAAAAAAAAAACTGGCACTTGGATTATTACGAGCGGGAAAACCCGATTATTTTAATATGACCGTGTCAGGAGGAAGTCTATACTTCTTCCTACCTTAGCATGGACTAACTGCGAAGGCTGTTCAAGCGCGATTGGAGCACTCGCCGCACAAGCGCTTGTGCAGCCGGCGAGGCCTCATCCAAAGCAAACAGCTCGCACTTTTAGCATGCGCGGCTAACAATAGTTCATGCTAAGGTGAGGCGAAATATAGAGACCCTTTTGTCGGACGCGGTGAGTCGGAGAGGCATTCCAGGCCATACAGGTATTATAATATACACTAGAGGTTCAACTGGCACTAGGGTGCTGTCGCACATTCAAGCAGACAGCAACCGGTGGAAAATTGACTTCCGGTAATGAATTTCTATGGAAAAAGCGAGTGCATTCTCTTTCTGCGCTCGATTAGAAATGAAAATATCCCGAATAATTTCTTCGGACTAGGTATCCTGGAGCATTTCTCAGTCAGGCGGGCAAAATAATTAATCATTTACGGCGGTTTCCATTCAAAATCATTGCATTTTAAGAGCGGTGCTAAAAAGCCTTAGTACATGCATTTATGTGCACTGTCGGACATTGTTAGCGCGAACACGACGTTAGCGCTTTTCAGCATGGGGGATATACTTGCCAAACGAACCAAGGAGATGTGGAAAACCAAAAGACATAGCAAGAACTACGCAGTAACACTAGATCAGTAACTCCCTGGGCATGTGCGATAAAAATAAATTGAAGGCCACGTAACATAGTCTGATTTTCAATAGGTAAGTACTGGATTATTCTTTCTGCTCTGTTTGAAGACGCTTTTTCTATGTTCAACACCTAACCCGCACGCTCGAAATCTTTGAGAACAAGTGCCCGATAAAAGCTGCCTGGGATAGAAAAGAATAAAACGAGACACTTTACATAGCCCACGTCAATATGAACGCCAAACACACCCTGCTACTGGAGCCTGTCGTCTAGGTTGCCGCCCGCCGTAGACCCTGGCAAGTTTCTTGGCCCTATTTTTTTACTAAAAGAGATCTACGCTTTGTAATTTTACAAAAAAAAAAAAAAAAAAGACCAGTGAATTACACTTTAGACGAAAAGTTTAGATCGCTACGTGCAGGCGTCAATTTTTACGGTCCATTTTAGATCGAGCCTGCTGACTTGGCACCACCCTATAGACGCTTTCAGGCAGCTGTGCATGGGCGCCGCCATAAGCGACCTTCAGTTTTTGTTTCCTCTTATTCCGTTCGATCCACTTCATCATTACCACAGCAGGACAGGTAATTGCCATTTCAGATTCTACCGTGTCCTTCTCCCCAGCACAGGCCTTTGTGGAGACTCGTCAACGCCCGCTTCAGTCGCTCGACATCTCGGTAAGACAAGAGAAGGTCGGCTATGGCGGCTGAATTTGGCGCGCGCTGAAAGCGTCTTATAGACTCGTTGCTGTCTGCTTCTATCTAGAATTATAATTCCATGTTCCGGGCATTATATGGACAGCTTAATAATTGCAATGCATGGTGATAATTTCCTCTCGTCGCTCCGCAGGAAATGGTGTTTCTTCGTCAGTCGATTCGAATGCCCAAGAGCAAATCATAGAGGAAGAAGCGTGATCAGAATGGGCATCGTCCGTTGTTTCTTAAGTTCTGATTGACTGTATTGTCTGATATGTCAGAAGGCGGAGTCGACGAAAATTTACATACCCACGAGGACGTCTTTGCCGCAGAGAGTATCGCGTACGAGACCAAAGTTCGCTTGCACAGTAGGCAGAGCACGTTTCACCTCTTCTGAACATCCATCGACGATCACCTCGTTCGTGCACGTCAGTGCGTCGTTCACCTTACTGGAAATATTAGAGGTAAAAGAAGATCAGGGACTATAGAAAATATCTGTCGTAGCAACAAAAAAAAAAAACACCGAAAAAAAATTTAGAACGTGTCCTAAAAGGGAGTATTCACTGGACGCCATATTTGTGGGTGCTGTTTAGAGCGCATGCTCAGAACGAGCTCACATCAGTAGGCTGCTAAGACCGACAGTCTTGATGGTGCGGAATGCACGTTGCAAAAAAACTGAGGAAGCTCGCCGTCAGCACGCGCTCAGTATTTGCGCACACAGCTATGGCCGCCAGTGGAAAGTAGCGCGCGCCCTCAAGCGGCGCGCGTGAGGCATTATGGGAACAATGAGGGTCGCTGCTCCGTCGTCTGCTGCAACAGCCGTACCACCTGCGTGGACCACGTTAGATACGTTCGCGTTCGGTCCCTGTGTACGGCAGACGGTAATCATTGGAGCGCCCCGTGCCTCGCGCTGCTTTTCCCTCATGATGTCAGAAACCCCCAACCGCACCACGTCTGTCCACTCTCTTTTTAGAGCGCAGCTCTTGGGCGCCCGTTTCCGCGTTTCGCGGCGTCGCCGTCGGCGTAACCGCTCCGCTAAATTTAGCGGAAGATTAAATTGGTGTTGAGGTCACGTGATGTCAATTTTCCCCCTATATCTAGCGTAGAAACTGTATTTGTTCAAAGGTGATGTGACATGAGGTCTTGGGACGTCATTTTCTCCGCTAAATTTAGCGGATAAAAATTACCCGCTAAAATTATCAGCAAACTTTCCCCGCTAAATTTAGCGGACAAAATGCTTTCGCTAAATTAAGCGGGGAATTTTGTCGCTAAATTTAGCTGCAAATTTCCCTGTTAAATTTAGAGGAAAAACTTCCCCGCTAAATTTCGTGGGAAATTTCCCCGCTGGGTTCAGCGGGTTAAGGAGAAGGGGGGTAGGGTACGGAGGAGCCAACGTTACTAAAACACTCAGTTGGGAAACTCCCATAGAGGCAGCTTTGATAAAGTGGCCCCAAACTGTCTCCGAGCACCGAGCTAATGACGAACACAACGCCACCATTTCTCCCGCAGCGGCCACCAGAAAAACTGCACATGACTTCTATTTTGGCTTTAAGAACAGATACAGCGGTAGAGGTTACAGGGATGCCACCCCCGTCTCCCCGGCGGACGCGCCGCGTTGAACTACAGAAGTTAAAATGCACCTAGGGCGGGACGTGCTACCTGAAAGGCCCGCCGAGGCATGGTTGTATAAAAACAATATTAATTGTGCCGCAAAACCCTGCAAACTAGAGATTTTAAAAACATAACGCGCCCCTCTTTTGGTACTAAACTCCAATAAATTTCATACAAAGAGAGTCTTTTTCGTTTGTTTTTACGCAAAAACAGGCTTTCAAAAAGCTCAAGGTGACCACAGTACAGACAAATGATAAAGAGTGGCGCTGTTGTCGCATTTAGCTCGGTCTCGGTCGACGCCAGCGGCCCAGTTTTCGACGGCGAGTTTCCCAACTGAGTGTTTTAGTAACGTTGGGAGGAGCATAACCTCCTCAAGAGCTGCGCCCTAATTTCGCATTGCAGAGATATCTAAACGTCTTTCATATTTTAATTTGGCCAACATTCTGGATAAGCCACCGTTTTTTTTTTCTTTTTTTTTTTTATGGCTTATTGCACGCGGGCCATGCGCCAAAAGAGCGAGGTATTACTCAATCATCCATGGGTTTTTCTTCTTTTTTTTTTTTTGCTACGGAAATTAGCTTAGCTATACATTGTTTCACCATACGATGGACCGCAAAGGAAGCTACGAGCAACCGGAGCCAATTCATAGTTGAAAGGGTGTCGGGTGTCCTTCCGGTAGAGCGGAGCGACGCGGCGAGCTCGAATTCACAAGACAAGCTACGAACTATGCATTGGCTCGTGTAGGTCGTCGCGTCCATTGCGGTACATCGTACACTGAAACAGAGTATAGTTGGTACATGTTGTTTTTCCTTCGCCAACAAAAATAAAAACGCAGTTCGGGAAACAGCGTTCGAACACCGTTAAAATAATAAAAAAAACTGGGGTGTGTGTGGGTTTAAACAGCCTAGAACTTGGTCTGCCTCAACGGGCCACTTGTCTCCCAGCTGTAGATGAGAAATATAGCCAGTGCAGTACAACCGCTAGCTTTGGGTCTTTAAAGCGGTATTCACGCGAGGCACGCGCGCATCACGAGATAAAAACGCGAGGCTTTTGCACATCGCATAGCCTGACGTTTTCGTCGTGGGATGCGCGTGCCGCATGTGTGAATACCCCTTAACGTGCATCACGCAGTAGTGATACACGACCGCACGCCGGTACGATGCTCATCCAGATCGAAACGGGCAGGGGTAGGGATTAAAGGCACTGGATCCTGAGAAAGTAGTGCCATTGCCTTCTTTACCTGCTAGCCGGACACAAACGGTTACTGACATACAGACAACCAAAACCTCGCAAGGCGATTGGCTAACCTGGTCAGAAAAGTTTATTTACAACAGTGGTATCATGACTAGGAGAAAAACCTGATTATAACTTTTATTTACAACACTGTGGACAGGACTTCGTTGCCATGGAAATAGCCATCTCAGTCCAATCAAATTATCGAAGCTTCCAGGAGGTCGTTCTAAACTTGTCGCGTCAAGATCACCATGGAGTATCTTCCTACTGGAAGCGTTTTACGCCAATGTAAGCGTTTTCGGCACTACGTATGCAATCGACTTATCAATCATGCCCATGCCCATTTATCTCTTACAATAATAGTGTTCTTCTTGCGTACTTCAATACAGAAAAATTATTTTTCAGTGCCTCCAAGTACCGACACCGCATGTGGTAGTGGTACGAGGATGTACGCTTGTTTCGTCGGTGTGTGGATAGCGAAATCTCGGTCTACAAGAAACGTCTCCATAAAGCTACTTGTCAACAGCGAATTTAGATCGGTTCACCGAGAACGGAGGGGTCATGGAGAAGTTGCTTATTTCACGGACCGAACTGGCGACCACACAGGGAACTTGGCGCGACTTTCCCAGGGCCCAGTGGCTTTAGTGGGAATTGAACCCAGGATCCCTAGGTAGTGCAGCGCCAACTTTCGCTCCATGTGCTCCGAGCTGGTGTGCTCTAGCCCAATCGACCAATTCCCCCTCGCCTGGTTCCAGTAAAGCCCCATGATAAAGGCACTTTTTTTACAAGTACCGCCGACCATTGTAGTGGAAACGCGCAAGGCACGTGCCGCGAGCGGGTGCTCCGCCGCCATTCGCTTCAAAAAGCCACTCATTTCAGTGCTGCGCCGCCAATTTCTTCCAAGAGCCGCTCGAGAGTCGGGCCTCGTGCACTGGCGCATTTGATGCTACTTGCACGACAAACGCGAACACATTGAGGGGCTTTAAGTTCCGGCGGTAGCGTGAGCTACTTAGCATGCAGAAGCTCGACTAGTCTAGACTTGGTTTGGCTAAAGGGCGCGACACCCTCCCAGTTCCCACAATGCCCCGGAGCACTCACTGGCAGCGCTGGCGTTTCCAGAAAGGTCCATTCGCGAGACACACGGGCAAAGTTTCATGACGGAAGCCATCGCGTTGGATCATAAAAGTACCTCATTTAGAGATGCCAATAGGCTTATTTATGTTTCTTCGAAGTGTTATTTTATATATATATATATATATATATATATATATGTGTGTGTGTGTGTGTGTGTGTGTGTGCGTGTGTGTGTGTGTGTGTTTGTGTGTGTGTTTGTTTGTGTGTGTGTGTGTGTGTGTGTGTGTGCAGGAAGGGGCTTACTTGCAGGAGTTAATCACGTCGAGTTCTGTGCTGCCCTCCATAAAAAGCATATGGGGATTTATCATGTTCTTCGTAATGCAGGAAGCAAGTTTATCCGCCTCGCAGCGCGACACACTGCCGCATGCAGCTGAAAAAGAAAAACACGGTGACATGCTACGAAGAAGGTAGCACAAAAGACCGAAGGGATCCTGGAATAGACCCTTTTCAAAAGACCATCGAGCAACATGCGGTCGCCGCTTCTTGACCACAAGAGTTGCGATTGAATCCAAGTTCCTGCCGAATGCTGACGCAGCCCTCGTGTCCATTAGATGGTCAGAATGCGTACCCAAGCGCTGGCGGACTGTGATAATTGGAGAACCAGGCTACTAGGTGGCGAACACTTTTGAAAAGGGTTTATTCGGCAGGAAACTGGCGGCGTCCTGACTGAAGCGCCGAACATAATTATACAGTCTCGTCTTGCAGCTATCGTCAACAACAGCTTGGCTATTGACACGCGGGGCGTGACAGTAAGTTCCGAGTTTTGTCATTGTCTCCGCAGCCCGTGAAGCTGTCAGGAGCGGATGAAAAATGGCCGAAACAAATCACAAAGCAAGAAGGTAATACCGACCTCAAGCCGCTCCTCATACAAATAGTTCTTTTTCTTTATTCCACACTTTTTGAGTTGCATACACCCATTCAAGAAGCATATTTATCTTAACAGCAAGCAGTTCGTCATCTTCTCTATCGAACATCTCTGCTGCCATAATGCACGTATAACGGTTTCATGAACGCCTCCATTTTTCTGCTATCGTCAACACGGACCGCGCCCTGCCGTTGAGACAGAATCGAAATGATCGTCTGCTAACATTGATATCCCCCTCGGCTCCCCGCCGTTATGCCTGAGACATGGAGGGAATCCCGCTGGTTCTGCAGATCACTGACGTCACGCACATCTTTACCCGAAAAGTATTCACCGTGTGAATACCCCTTAAGCCGTTACAAATATGTGAACTAACGTTGAGATTGTAGAGTGTGTCATCCCCTCCTCCGTGTGTGCGCAGTTGCAAATCGAGAGAAAACCCTCGGTTAAATGTGGTCTCGTGTTGCAGGGAGTTTACTCGGGAAGAGGAGGGAGGGAGGGGGGGGGGGAGGCTGAGGTGTCTGGCCACTTCCACAGGTCATAGATATCGCATGCAGTTTTGAGGGGGGGGGGGGGGGGGCTGAAGCTTCATAAGCCTCCCCTCTGGCAACGCTACTGCACACATGGAATCGTATTTTTGCACCTGTGTGAACGATTTGCTTACCTCTTTGAAGCAGCAACATTGCCCAGAGAAACATGAAGAGGGTGAGACTGAACGGAGCATGAATGCCCATGGTTGTGTCTCCGAGATCTTGTTCGCAACGTTCGCAACTCCAAAGACGATCGGTTTTAGCGCAGCCTTTTACGCACCCTTATCTTTTGCTCTGCGTGTGCACGGATTACGATAAAAAATTTTCCGGAACCATAAACGGAATTTCTGTCCCAGACAAAAGAAAAAGAAAAAAAAAAGAAGCAAAGGGCACTTGAGCAGCGTCACTATAACGGCGGTAACGCCTGTATCACGGCAGAGCGAACGGCCAATCATCGCAATCTATAACCGCTGATAAGCGAATAAAGTGAAGACAATAAGGTATACCCGATGATAAACGAATACTCCACTGGGGTCACGAAGCAGTTCTCCTATCGCGTGTTGCAAGAACGACATTCAATGATGGTCCCGATCAAATCCTCATATCAGACATCACAAGGGCTCGATTAAGACCTACGGCTGCATTACATAGAGTAGCAGTCCTATATTTGGAACAAAAAAGGAAGGATAAGGTGGTCGGGCGCGTTGACTCTCCACAACTCGGAGCACCTGGGGCAAAAACTCTCGCTATGGATTGCGGTAAGGGGATCCTGCAGCTCCATTCCCATGCCCCCCCGTTTGGATGTGGATTAGCATCGTACTGGCGTGGGGTTGTGCGTCATCTATTGCGTGATGCACATTAAAAAGCTCAGGCTAGCGCGGGGCCCGAGACTGACTGAAAATGTCGTCTACAGGAAAGACCCGTACCAGGGCCGGATTTCTAGGAAAGAAAGCACTGCCAAATTTTGCGCACGAGCGGAGAGGCGTCTCGAGTCGAGTCTCAACAGCTCGCACGCCTAAAAGCCGGTTCAGACACTTGCGTTTGATTGCGTTTGACTGCGTTGCGTCGAGTGCGGAAAGCTAGTCACCAGCACATCTGTGCTTCGTATGAAGCGTGCAATCCAATTCAAGGAATCATCTTGGCACGCGATATAAGCAGCAGGGATGTCCTGGTTTCTCGCTGCCGCAACGCAGTCAAACGCAGTCAAACGCAACTGTCTGAACCAGGCTTTAGGCTTGGCAGGCTTTCTTTCACACGCTCAAGTTTTATGTATTTCGCTCAAATACCACTTAGAACGGATCCCTGACGTTAAGGACCTCTGAAATACCCGTTTGTTTTTCACCACACGCAATCAAAGTTCCATAAATAATTTAAAAAAAAACTAGCATCGTTTATTTCTCAACTCGCAGCCAGAACAAGCGGCCACGTGATCCGGAGCCGAGTATATGCCGCCAATGTTGATCATAGCCATGCGCTGGGGTTGGCAAGGCACAGAGCACGCGCTGAGTACCAGACATTGTTATGGTTCGTCTATTGTCGTCATTGCAGCAATTGGACACAGGACACTACCCAAATTCTTCTTGCAAGTGGGATTCCGGCTTAACCTCAAACCGCGCGCCAAGGTGAGGCGGACCTACTCTCCAGCTGCAGGACGTTCGCTGGTTGTCGTACAATGTTGCCAAGCGTCTCTCGCCGAAGCGTACACCACTGAGCGCAGAAAGAAATTTAAAAAAATAGTTATAAAACGTACACGTGTCGTCTTCGACAGCGAAATAGCAAGTACAATTAAATAAAATGCCTAAAGCGGTAACAAATCGAAAATTTTCAAAAAGATCTAAAGTCTCAAGGCGCTCTCTTCAGAATGCGCCAAAAGTCGCAGGGCTTTTGCATCAACGATGGCTGCGCTCGCGGCGGCTCTGGCTTCCACAACATGCAGGAACAGAGGCTGCGATCGTTATAAAGTCAGCTCCAACCCTGAAAGATGCCCCGTCCTACAATATGTGACGCTACGATTCTTTGTGGATACCTCCTCCTGCGTTCCGAGACAGTAAGTGTGCCGCTAACGTAACCCATCGGCGATGCAGCAAACGGCCCCATCTCATCACGCACCCCACTGACGTGCCCCTGGCGCACCCCAGCATGGCGGAAACGGTACGGGGCGCCAGCATCGCTCAAAATGGCAGCGCACAGGAGCCTTTCTTGCAAACGTGTATAGATTATCACGAGCTCAAATCGAGTGCCCACGCAATGCTTGGGTCCAATCTATGAGCCGCATTGAAATATCGTCACTATGCGGTACTGCTACCGCCCAGCTACGTCATCAGGTTTCGCGAAGGAGAGATTGAATGGAAACGCTCGGTTTTGTCCTCGAAATTACAGCGCAACGAAGGAGTTTCTTGTTCAGTGGCGTTACGTGCGAGTTTCCTTGAGTCCCACTAGTGCCAGTAAGCTTGTGTGAAGTGAAAAATATTCGAATTGAATATCGTTGCACCGCCCCTTCAAAAAAGCACTGAAGTCATTTTTGAAAAAAAAAAGATCGTTTTTGATCTTATATTGTTTAAAAGGTGTTAGTTCTCTCAAATAACAAAGTCCTATAATACAATACTGCCTATTCATCTCAGGACAATAGAAAAACATCTGGACTCTTTTTTTTTTCTTTTTCTGGCGGACTGCTTTGTGCGGACCAAGGAAACCCCTTCAACACGCGCAGATTCCGAATGATTCTATTATAACTCGTTTTGAGGAGAGTTTTATAGGTACAGCATAGGATAATCCTCCTCTTTTTCTCTGCGGGTAAAGCTATCGCTTGCAACTCGCCGACAAGCGCCCATAGAAAAGCGCCACGGAAATTCACAATTTTTCATACATTGCAATTCTGTATATGACGATTCGATCAAGACATAGGAATAAAGGGGCCAATTATTTATTCCCAAATATTCATTACGTAATAGTACTAACAAAAAAAAAAAGCAAAGCAAAATTATCTTGAACCTTTCTGAACCGGTTACCGTTATAATTTTTTCCAGCTCAGTTCCGGTTCCATTCAAAGATGGCGGCGAAGATTTCGGTTTGGTTCAGTTCCGGTTTGTCTGAAAATAACGGTTCGGTTCCGGTTTTTGGTTCGGATCGAATCGGTTCCGGATCGACACCCTGTCGCCGTCTAGAACCTAGAACAAAACCACCCTGTGCATATATTATAGTATAGTTTTTGTTTGTTTTTTTTCCTCAACGATCCCTTATCGTGGGCGTAAAATAATTCCGATAGCGAGAGAATATTCCTTATACTCCAGAAGTGTTTCCGCCGATACCCGGTGGATGGCGCCGGGGTGCCAGTGTGCTCTCTTGCCGTACGCGGTTAGAGCGAACGCAACGCACCCGAGCACACTCAAACGCACATGTGTGAACCGGCTTTTATGCGGCCCGAGAAGCGCATCAGTAAACAGAAATATAAAAAAGGGCCCCGGAGACAGAAAACTGAGTGTTTCATTGGCATTTCCCAAAGGCGTTTTAAATACTTGGGATTTATACTGCGCCCTCGAGTGGGCACAGCAGAAAAGAGGCCGTTCGAAGGCGCATTCCGAGGGTCTTGCGAATACATAAGGCAGTCACAGTGTCACGCGATACTCTGACGTCACATGACGTCATGATATGCCACGTGACGACGTGATGTCGCGTGACGACACGATGTCACGTGACCTCGTGATGTCACGTGACGCTGTAATGTCATTGAGGCTCCGCGCCACGGACACACAAATCCTGAGGCTGGCACTCTTGGGCCCCAGTGACACTGCTCATTACATAGTGCAAAAGACAGTCTGCAGAGACTGTCTGAAGCGTTGTACGACGGTCATATGGGTCATACAAACACTGTCTGCGGACATGTTCAAGCATGTGTGAATCAAACGTTACTCGAGGCGTTCCGAAGAGCCTTCTTTCATCGTCTGTAGCGAACAGTGCGTCTCTTGTACGATGTAGGACAAGGGTGACTGCTGTTTTGTTGCTCAGCATTTAAAACTCATTGGTTTCCGGTAAAAGGCGGACAAAGCGACAGATGTGTTCCATCCTCTCGGCGATCAAACATCCGAACAAATGTCGGCGAGGCGTCTGCACATCCGGCCATTTAGGGGCACACTTAGGATGACGAGGGAGGTCGTAGAAGCTTTTCACATTTCCTGTCACGGGCAATCAACACTCAAGGATGGTTCAGACATCTGCAGCGGGCGCGTTAGCTACGAGTCATTACGCACGTAAACTGCCAGAAAGTGTTCAGTTAAGCAGCTGACATGTCGAGTGCATTAAATACTACTTTGTATCATTCAACAAAAATCGCCAATTAGCAAGGCTGAGGATTATTTGGAGAATTGAGGTGACCAGCATCTTATCAAGAACGAACCACAACAGCAGGCTATGCCGCTTATCCTAATTCCTGTATAAAAAAAATGTTTACTTGGGTTTGGCGATATTTTAGGCCAGATTCAATCTGAGCAATCAGAAAAACAAGCATTGTGATTGCCGCTTAGTGTTCTTATAAAAGATAGACTGAATGGGCTTGTCTTCAAACTTTCAGAACAGTTTGAAAATGTTTTTGCTTTTAGATCAGTTGTGTCACCATAATACTGTGAATCGTATTTCCTAAGGCATAGCTCATAATATATATGGTGACGAGGTGCCCTTCTCGTGATTTTATGCACGGTAATGAGTTTTTAGCTCAAGGGCACAGCCACAATTTAACTTATAATACTGCGCCGCAAAGTTGTACCAATCACGGGTATTTGATACGACCACCACACTTCGCGACGACGTTTTGATTCCGGGCTCTGGTAAACAAACAGATGTTGAGTTTCGTATAAACACGACGTTTTGTACGTTAATGTAGATTTTCTTTTACTCCTGTGTTGAAATTAAATAACAAAGCTTCATAATTTTGGTACCTGTAAACAAACGATAGAAAAGGCTAGCTAATCGTTTGACGACGTAAATAGTGCCTATTGCCAAAACAATGCGTAAAATGTATCGTCACTTTAGCAGTTCAAACCAGTTCTAACCAGTTTGAACCGTTGGAACCGTTAGTGTTGCTCTTCCGAACTGTACCGGAACTGAACCGAAAGCCGTGAACCCGAACCCAAACCGAACCGATCAAATTTTCGGTTCTACACTCTGGCATGGCGCTGCAGTGTGCAAATGTGTTTCCCCAGTGTGATCGAGCACAATGGAACGCAAAGCACTCGAGCTCATTCAAACGCAAATGTGTGAACCACCTCTCAAATGGAAAGCTAACATTCGCGCTAATGCACTCTTGATTATGAGATTGTGCTATATTAGCCAACAATATTGCGGGAGAGTGCCGGGACCAAACCGAGTGAAGAAAATAAGTTGCACTCTGCTTTTCT